TTGATGGCAGCCATTTTGTATTTATAAAAATTGGATAGATTTGCCCTTATCAAAGCATAGTTTGAATTCCTGGCTGTGAGTCTTTGATTAAATTTGATTATTGGAAGGTATTATCTCAAAATGTACTGATATCTTGATTTCGGCCGTTTGGTTTTCTGCTAAAATTGCTAAAGTTTGAGGCACTTTTTCAATATCTTCTGTTGTGTTTAACACACTTTTTGAATTTTGTATGATTAGACCAATATATGCTTAGGATCCCTATAAAATTTTATGGCTGTCAAGCCTGCAAAAAGAGAGATATGAATGCTTGAACATTGCTTGGTAGAAAAGTGAGTTTGGGGGGTGGGGTCATAAAAATGGGCGTGGCTCGTTAGTTTGTGGGTTAAACTGAAATTTAGTAACATATTCTCAATGGCAAATGGCTGGTTTAAATAGGTAAATTTTCAATTAATTTTAAAAAGTCATCAGTTTTGACATATTTGCTTATGAAGTGGCTTTATTGACCGAAGCTGAAAATCAAGCCAAAAATGGCCAAAACATAAAATATCATATTATAATTATATCCAATGATTTCTTTTGGGATTGTTGCCTTCAATCTTAATATCTCCTATATATGCAACAATATTATGAATTTGGTTGAAATCTGTTGACCCCCACCTTGCCACCCTCTGACTGGTCCTATCATGGACACACACTTAATAGTCTAATTTAATTGCAGTGGAGATTTATGGATACTGAAAAAAACTCTATGCACTTACCAACTCATTTAATATAGTATATGCAATGAAAATAAAAAATCCTTGGAATGTTGCGAAGATACCAAAGAGGTAGTCAAAGGCCACCATGTCTCTGTCATTGGCCCCCAGCAGAGCAAATACCCACGTGACTCCCACTAGGGGGAGCAGTATTACGGCTGAGATGAGACTATTCCTAGAGTAAAATGAAAATGTAACTGTTAAGAATAAAAGATCTGATTTACAAGTTTGAAACAAGCTAGAAACTTAAACACTGTGTTAAGACCTACAATCTGAATAAAACGTTACTCCAACAATGTTAATAACCAAGAGCAAACATTGCCAGTTAACATATGATTACAATTTTGCTTAAAACTGAATATTTGTGTAAACCCTATAAAGTATCTTGGTATACAGATATGTCTGATCACAAGAAGAGTGATAATATCAAGTATTTGGCTCTATCTTACCTGACAGGCCCAAACTCAGCATCCATGGCCTTGCCATCACAGCCAGCCTTCAGAGCCAACACAAACACTATCAGGTTCATCTGCAACAACAAATTAAACATCTTTTATTTCTTTAATTATTATACATAAATACCCATCACATATATTTAAAGAAAACATCAATCACTCATTAAGAAAAAAATTACAAATTTTGTGAACATTACACTTATTATAACATACATGTGTATACCATAACTCTGCACTTACAGCTACTATGATAATGATAGGCCCTGCAAGACTCCAGAATATGTTGTCATCTATGCTCAACCAGCAACTGAAAGCATAAGAAATGCTAATGTTTTAAACAGTATATTTTCATGATCATTATATAGTTATAATCACTATGGTAAAATTAAGACAATTCATTATCAGATGGTACTTTTTAAAGAAATAAACCAGCATTCAAAGAAATTTTTCAAAGAGAGGTATTAAATGTCAATTTAAATCAACACCGATACATTTTTGCATGAAAAAGTAATTTCAAATCAAATGTTTAAATGAATTTTCTTTACAATTTATGAATAGATACCCTTTAATCAAAACATTTTTAAAAATACATTTAACAATTAAACATTAATTATCTGAATTAGGCATTAAAGACAGATGTGCTGCAAGCCAATTATTACACTTCTATAATCTAAAGAAAAATAAATAAATAAATAAATAAATAAATATATTAATAAATAAATAATGTTGTTAATGTAGCAAAAGTCAGAGGAAATTCACTTACAATGACCTAGTTCCATACTTGTCAGTACTCAGCCCTACAGACAGGCCTACGATGATTCCTGGCACAACATAACCCACTGCGTAGTAGAACTTCATGGAACCCTTGTTGATGTTCCGTATCTCAGTCAGCATGCGATAGATGTGGAGAGCCTCAATGAACAGCCAGGCAAAGGCCCCAAGGAAGAAGAAGTGTAAGGCAATTGCAATTAACTTGCACAGAAGCTGAAAAGGAAGGATAGTTCATTGTTAATTTGTCTGAATAAAATGAAGAACTATATCTGTATATCCACTTGCATCAAAGCAAAGTGATTTTTGATTAACATTTATTAAATTTAAGCAAAAAGACATTTTGAGCTTGAGAAAACATTGCCAATCTATACATGAAAAGATAAAGTATTGACAGATGTCCATTTTTTTAAAGTGGAGAGAGAGAGAGAGAGCTACCTCAGGGTCTGTCCTGTTGATTCCCAGCACATAGGTGAGCAAGGCCAGGAGAGTGATGAACACAAAGTTGATACGAATACTGTTGGCATTGGAACGCATGTTGTTTTGAGCAATACACAGTATAATGAATGTCAGCAGCAAGAATGCCATTGCCAATGCTACACCTGCATACGTGACAATCTCCATCTGGATTGTGGCACTCGCCAGGTACTGAAGGAAAGAAAATAATACATTCAATTTGGTAAAGTACACATGGGCTTGAATGTTTAAATTGTATACCTGAATGGAATTATGCATGTTAAGATAAACAATATGTAATATTTTAAGGAAAAACTATAAAAGTGTGACAGTTTGGGTAAATATCCTGCTTGAAAATTCTGCACACAAATTTTACTTCAGATAAAAAAAGAATTTCAATTTTTCTATTTTTCAATTTTGCAAGAAAAGTTGAAGTATCATCTGAGATTAAATGTCTTATTTCTGACATTACAAGCATGGCATCATTTTTGCCAGTTCCAGAAGTTGAGAAAATAATCAACTTATAAACATCAACAGAAAATCTGTCAGCTTACCTCGACATCAGAGATGTCCATCAGTACAGAGAAATAACTGAGGTGGTTACAGCTGCAGGTCACAAACTTATTTCCTCCAGAGTCTCTCCTGTTGTCCAGCCAGCAGCCCTCTGATGTCCAGCGACCACTTAGCCCACTGAAATGATGATCAGGAATATAAAGTAACCCAAAATGAGAAATTATCTTATGGTAAGATGTCTTAAACAGTATACTTATCAGTTTTGGCACTAAAGGTTCCTAAAGGTTAAAAATGTCTGATTTTGTCAATGCAAGAATTCAAATTAGCCAGTAAAAGAATGAAAGAAACTAGTGTAACATGTGCACACGCACGTGCACACACACACACACTTACGTTTTATTCACAAACTCCCAGTAGACACACTGTGGGCTGGTCCTTCTCTCTGTCACCAGCTGCTTGAAGTCAAAGGTGACAGAAGGAGTTGGCTGTTTGACAGTTCTGTTCCCATCCTGTAGCACTAGAGACATGATGGGGGTGTTCACAGTCAGGTAGTCATGGACTCTGAAATAAGTAAAGAGTTAAGGCTTTCATTTTACAACATGTTAGCCTCGATAAACAAGATGAACCTGCTTAACCATTTATACTTGGTGTTTATGGATCTGTTCAATTTATGCCTGGTCTTTATGGGCCTGTTCAATTCATGCCTGGTCTTAATGGACCTGATCAATTTATGCCTAGTCTCTATGGGCCTGTTCAATTTATGCATAGTCTTTATAAACTTCAATCCTATAAGGGTATCCCCTCTCTGAGGAGCATAAACCTAAGCAATGTCAAGTGCGGCGCTTGGAATTATCACCCAAAAAAAGATAGATATTTAGGCAGATTAAGTCAAATACCAGATTTATAAACTCTGGATATTGTGGCAAAGTTCATCTCCTCACCTGACTTTCTTGTCATCATAGCTGGCTGGTATGATACTCCCCAGGGTTTTGAACATGATGTATCCTGCCACTGCCTTGGGCTGGCTGTTCAGAGAGGACTGGATCCATTCTGGAAGGGGAATTAACATAGAAACTTATTTTTTTAAATACATAGGATTGTTTTATGATAGATAAACAGAAAGGTGGGGCATACTTTGTGTATTTGATGCCTTTTATTCCAACAAAGATTGAAAATTACACATTCAAATCCCTTATGATTTCTTTGACAGTCTTGGATCATCAGTTGGCAAAAGCATTTTAAAACGTTTTAATAGAATTGAATCAAATAAATCACAACACTGCTGGCAGCCTGCGACTGCATCCCCACCTCTTAAGGCACACTATCACCTACACCATCACCTACTCAGTACAGTAAATTGTCCAATATAAGACATCTGGTGGATGATATTTTCCATATCATACATATCCCAGTTTCGCTCCACCCACCCACCCACCCCCCAGCAGATCCCCCTTGGTGAACTACCCACCCTGTACACTGGGCTGTCCAAACACAGAGGCTGGCAAGATGGCATGCGTGTCCTTGTCAAACATGGCACTGTTCTGCACCTTGTTGTTGTATTTTGGGATGTTAGTGCCACTGAAGTTGGTTTTCAAGATGAAGTCCAGACCAAAGACTGGAAATACAAAATGCACAAATATAAGAGTATATAACATACCAGGCTAGTTGCTTCTTTGTAGTGTAGAGATATAAACTGTAAAAAAATTAATATAATACATATAAATTTATCAGCTACACAGACTTTAAAATTCATTCATAATTAGCTTAAGTAAAAAGAGACATAAAATCTTTAAGTTTAAACCAGTTAAGTATAGAATACAATGTCAGTGCTGTGCCTGGGCTTTATTACACAAAATAACTAATTGTATACTTCATTCTCTAGTAATTCCACTTATCACATTTTTTAATAAATCAATTCTGCGTCAGAAATATAACAAGCTGTATAATAAATAGGTCAACTTGATCAAAACCTACTTAGATTATCTGTGATGGCATCGAAGGGGTTCATTCCCCCGCTCTGGAACACAACCGCCATGTTTAGCGCTAGTGTAGATAGGTACTCCTCCAATAGGTGCATCAGCTCAGACACGCCCCCTGCCTTTTCCCAGTGAGATGCATAGGGTGCTATCATGGTCCTGCTCAGGGAGTTCAGCATGTTCTGGGAAGGAAAATTTGAGTATTTGTAAAGCATGAACAGTATGAGGCACATGGTTTATAGATCTGAGTTTTGAGAGAGACAGAATGGGTTGGCATGGAGTAAGAAATAAATAATTATTCTAACAGTATTATAGATCTAAATTTCAGCTGTTTAAGAGATGGAAAATGTGTGAATAATTTCTTATTGGAATCCCAATGAGAAAGTTCTGACTGTTCATTTGCAGTCACATCAAAAGGGGTTCTTTATTTTCATCTGTAAGATTTAATGTTTTAAAATATCACGTTCAAATAATTTTATCACTGCACACACTTAAAAATAAACTCCTCACCTGTACATATAACCTGTCCTGTGTATTGGTAAGATTGAGGCCAGTTTGTTTGATCTCGTACATCAACAACTGTTTCACCAGGCGGTTGGTAATATCGATGTCCTTTCCGTACATGTACGCTGTCTGGTTGGTGGCATTGTTCAGTTTGGTGAGGAGATTCTTGGCAACAAAAGTGTTGATGAGCAGCTGACCATTTTCAATTTCTACCAACTGGAATAAGTGATTAAGACCAATTTTTGAAGTCAGAAAATATCCAATTGGGATGTGCTTTTGCAGTTAGTTATGTATAATTATCACAGTATGAGACTTGGTTTTGAGATTTCTTTTTCAGCAAAGAAAGCTACAAGTTAAACATTCAGAGTCAATCAAGCGATTTTACTTTAATCTCATTCCTAAAAAGGAAGGCAAACTTTTTCCCTCTGGTATTTCTCCATGAACATATAATTCCAACTCCTGTGATTTCCTGAACACCATTTTTGAATCCTCCAAATACAGGAAAATCCACGCCCTAATCCCTATCTTTTAACATGATATTTCATATTTACCCGAGACTCAATCTCCTTGAAGAGGTTAGATGTACAGTTGAAGACGTCAGGGTTCTGCCAACCTGTCTCCAGGTCACAGTGACGGCTAGCTTGACCCCTGGTCCCATCAGGGCAGTCCTGGACAGCGGTCTCACCATACGGGACTTGTAGCCAGAGAATGTTGTCAGAGAATCCTTTAGGACATTTGCCATAGACAACTGAAAATAGAATGAGAAAGCTTTACAGAAACAGCTTCTGTATGACTTAATGAATTCATAAGAATCCCTAGAACATGTCTTAAATATTTTAACCATTTTAACAATTTGAAATCAATGAAAACAATTTCTTAATACTGCCAAAAATCACTTTCAACAGTTCTTTCATTGCACTGTGGACGACTGTAAGAATAAAATGCCTGTTGGTGCTTTTGTGTGATAAACATGAACAAAGTTTTGCTGACACATAAACTGTTCAGAAATAAAAATATGTCCGTGTCTCTGGTTCTCAGCATCTTCTTTGGCTTCAGTTGCATTCAGGCAGTTCATGTTTTTGTGTCTTTTACCTGCATGTTGAAGCAAGCTATTTGTACATCGTGTAAGTCTGACACTGTGGCACAACACTTACCAAGTTGTAAGATAAAATCCACACTTCACTTTTTTGTTCTTTAAACAAAGTAAGTTTGTGATACAGTTGGAACAAATAAATATCTTAAGGTGACTCAGATTGAGAATGTTGAATATATTACAAAAAATGTAACGGGTATTGGCAGTCCATTCTTGCTATCCCTTGTATCATCTTTACCTTTACATCCCTCTCTAGTGACTTCAGCATACCGGCTATCACACTGGTCACAGCGCTTGCCCTTCACTCCCATACGGCACCTACACTGTCCAGTCAGTGGGTCACAGGACTGACCAAATGACCCAACAGAGTAGCAGTTACACTTGTAGCACTCTTCACTGCCCTCTGGGCGGTAATGGAAGTCCTGGATTTCAAATATTGCAAAGATATTTTACTATCATTTACTTAACAGTCTGTCCGCAGATCTTGCATATCAATGCGTAAGCGGTGATCATTACAAAAACACCTACGCGCTTGCACAAAATAGTCCGCGACGTGTGTTTCGCGCCATGTTTGCAAAAATCCGAAGTTGTTAAGTAAATCCATGAAGCTCTGTGAATAACTCATTATTTCGCTTGAAACTTTCGAGGAATAAAATTTATAACTTGATGTAAGCGTGCAATATAAAATGAGCATTTCAATTTCGACGAAAGCCTTGTATCAGATGTCTAAAATTGGCACACGCATTTTTCTCAAGCTGATCGTTGAATTTTGTACCCTAAAATGAAATGATTGTAGAAAAAATGGACAAACTTACTTTGTTGATATTATAACGATTTATGCAACTATATATGCTGGAATTGAGCCAAAAAGAATAAAAATTTTGTACAATCTTCCTTTTTTGTGAAATCCCTATTTTAGTGCGAAGTATGTAGGTCAGTCGAAACAGGGACTGTCACGTTCCACTGAGCAAGTGACTCGAGAGCGTTTTTCTCCATAAATCTTGCATTTCGGTAAAAAAAATTGAATGTTCAGCTTTTTCAAGTGTATATTCATAGGATACAATGTGTCACTGTCATAGTGAGAGTTGTTATGGAAAATAATACGTGAAAAAACGACATCGGTGCTGCAGATCGACCATAACATGGTTTAGAATGGAAAATCTACTGTTTGCCTTTCAAGTTACATAGCTTTGGGTTTACAGACTAAAAGGTGAGTCTTTTTTGCGTTCACTAAGTTTCATATAAGCGCCGAAATGTATAGAAATGATTTTGGAGTAACCTCCCTTCGCATAGTTTAGATGCACTTGTTGACGTTCAGTACCAGTGAAATGTTACATTTTGTTGCAAAGTTATAGTTGTACTTTGTTTACATAAAATGTTTAGGCCTACTTGAGTATTGATTTGTTCTATTTCCTTGAGGTTGGAATCTAGACCTTTTTCCAAAGTAGGGTGTGTGTTTATACACACACACCTGTTAACTAGCACATGGCGCAATCAGCATTACAGGTGTACTGAAGGTCTTTCTTGGGCAGGTTCCAAAGTTGTTTTACATTATTAGTTTAGATATTTTGATTTTTAAAACAATTTTTCTCAATTTATCTGAAATTGTTGGTAGTAAAAAAGTCTTCAAATTAAACAAGTTTGACAAAATAGTTTGTCAAGGCACAGCCACACTTTATGACCATTGCAATGCACACTTTAAATGTATTACCTATGCATTGTGCTTTTCAGTTTTAGTGAAATGTTGACAGTATACCTATCCCTACCTAAGCTATAGCATGAGAATGGACTTGATGGCATGGAATGATGAAAAGATACCAGTTAGACAAAGCAGAAGGTAATTAAGAGTTTACAGGCCTGTAGCTAGCAATTTCAAAGGGGGGGTTCTTTTTATAAAAAAGTGGACCTTTTACCATATAATCCCCATGTATTTAGGTCAAATTTTACCCAGAGTGGACCTTTTTCCAGCAAAAAGGGGGGTTCTTTCGAACCCCCCGAACCCCCCCTGGCTACGGGCCTGGTTTATATATATGAGTTTTTTTTTTTTTAATCTATGGATTTTTCATTGAATTTCAGTTTTTATCTGCATTGTATGAATTCCTTGTTTCTACATACATGTATAATTTTATCATTATATTGTATTTTTTAACAGATTCCCGAATTTCATATCAGCTGACAATAAGGGAAGAGGTGTTCTAGTCAAGACCAGGGAAAATTTATTTCCATACGATTTTGTGTGATGGTGCTGTTGATGCAGGTGTGACTGAACAAGAGATGGTGTTTTGTAGAGTCTTGGATACTGTTTTACCCTAGAAACCTTTCTCATAGCAGACACGTTCTGGAACAATACTTTCTTTAAGTATTAACATTTGACCTAAAAGACTTCCACTGAGAGTGGCCTGCATTTAAAGAGCACATAGGTGGCATGTTTATAGTGAAAAAAAGTAAAGATATGTGTATGGGTTTGTTTCAAGGCTAGGAGACCAGACAAAGATTAGAATACAATAATGCTAATTGAAATTGCCTTGTTCACCCTGTTCACTTCACAGGTGGAGAGAGGATACAGTGCTTTCAAAAGAATCAAATCTGACTGGAGGTCAAGGTTGGGGAATATTATGCTTAAGTTAACCAAATTTTGACAGCAGTTTTATAGGGGCCAAGTTTGATGATCATTCAGTCAAGGAATCTATCAACCACTGGGTGGCAGGGTGACGCTCTGGGAAAACGGCCCAATTTTGAACTTGAAAGTTGATTTAGTTTTCTGATTGTCATATCCAGCAGGTAAATGACCTGGCCATTGAAGGTTCTAAGGAAATAAAAAAAAAAACAAAATTGAAACATACTCTATTCTGAAGTTTTCTTTTTTTTTTTAAAATTTTCAATGCATTTTACTTTTGTTATGTATTTAATTACAAATTATATTCAAGAATTTTCAGCCGGGGATGATCTTAATATGTATGTCAGTTTTGGCTAAAGTAATATTCATAACTTGCTGGGGCAGGTGCTTCTCCTGCCCTCAGAATAGACCGATCAAGTTGGCCAACGAGTTTATTGGAACCTTGTTATCTGCTTTAATTTTAAAGGCAAAAAGTTTCCAAAAAACTTTTAACAAGGTCAGTGCGTATTCATGAGTCTGAATGAACATTTCCCAGGAACAGTGCTTAAATGACATGAATTTTAAATGTTTACTTTTTGTTTATCACACATATTTCAATATTTTGCATTTTTAAAAACAGAAATGTAAATTTTAAATAGATTAGGGATATTTTTTTAAAATTATAATTGGAAGGGTCTTATTTTAAATAGTTTAATATGTAAGAGACAAAAATAGTACTAGTAAATAGAAATAAATCTTGAGCAGTAAAATAAGAGAACAAGGCAGAAGTGCAGATCTTAATATAATGATTAAACCGGTGTTGAATGATTTTTTTTTTCTTTTTATCAAAACCCTTTCAGGCTTTAAAAAGTACAACCTGGTCATAGGCCAGTACTTCTTTGTAAATATTTATTCAATTAAAAAATCTTGTTTTATTTATAACTAGATCTAGCAATATCTTTCTATAGATCTATTGGTCAAAATTCACATTGGATTTCTTGTGGATTGGATCATAACTATTATACCATTTTTGATGTTTTAAGAATGAAGTATATAACTCTTGGAATTTTCCTGATGTTAGATGCACAGCACTTGTTCTTATTTTAATTTTCTTGTGACTTGTTTGCTCTGTTATTCAGAATATTTAAGAAAACTTGTAGTCTTTGGGCCAGTGCTTCAGGTTGATCACGTGACGCTATAAATTATGATGAAAATGGGGTTCCATTTTTGTCGTCGTTTTGGAGATGCACTAATTTCCCCACACAAAATGGGTAAAAATTGTAGGAGACATACCTTATGATATATCATTTGAAAGTTTATGATTTCGTCTTTCTGGAGAATATAAATGTTTGAAAATATTTCGCGTTTCCTGCGATACATAGTCACAGTAACCTACTGCACTTGAAAAAATCGGTTTTGCCAATTTTTACACCGACTTCACGGGATTATCAACACTTTGCCCACCAGATGGGAGCCGAACGCAACATATATTTCATATCAACACGAAGCCCACTTGTTTAGCTTTTAGAATTTATATAAAACGCTGGTGATATAAACATAATAGCAATTTTGTTATAATTTAAACGCCCCAATGTTATACGCTTCAAAAATGCAAGTGCTTGGCGTCGCGTTCACCTCGCGCTTAAAAAAAATGGACAAAGCTGAATTTACAAAATATATATACCGCCAGAAAGCGAGTTTAACCAGCTTTCATGATTTAGTTTTTAAAAATTTGTACAATTTAAACTTCTTATAGAAATCTTTACATAGAAAATTTCGGACACCTGAAACGGGACACCATTTGCAATCACCCGCGTGGATAAATCTTCCATTTTACCGTTCTGAATCTATGTTTTATGACAACTAACCTTAAAATAGCGAATCCCTAGATATCCCCGCTTCTTTTTATATATCTATCGTTTAATCACATCAACTGTTGGCAAAAATACACATGAAAATACGAAGAGCGCAAAAGTCGTCCATTTTCACTCGATTTTGCTGAAAGTAGTGCGAAAATGGCCGTCGCTTCAGACAGTGTGCACGCGCAGCTCGAAATCTGCGGACAGACTGTAAAGAATATTTAACAGTTAAGTTATGCTAAACTACTTACATAATTTATAAGAAGTTCAAGTGAGACAACTGTTGTTACAATAACGATATACATATAGAACTAACAAAAATAATATAATGTAACATAACTGAATGTTTGCTTGGTACTTGTCTACACATTTTCTACTGTGAAAGCTTGTGCCTCATATAGACTGCATGGACGACGTGTGGGGAGGCGTGTGAGAGGCGGAGAGACTACTAAAAGATTAGGTGGTTTTTTTTTCATGTACGTCTGCCATTTTTAGTTCTCAGGATTTGTAAAGCCTGGCTCAATTCGTTGAGAATGCGGTCATAGTCTAACTGAGTTTAGGCCAACTAATCCCAGCTTCTTATTTAAACTGAATGTCATCTGTCATGGGACAAGTGGTTAATACTGCAGACCATGTAGCACTCACCTTACAGGCACATTTTCCATTACTGTCACAGTTGGAATCATAGCCTTTGTCACTGGGGCAGTTACAGGGACCACAGATGGGGTAGCCGTACCAGGCCGTGGGACACTGTTGGACTATGGAGTTCTCACAGTAGCTGCCAGAGTTCAGCTCCTTGCAGTCACATTTGTATCCCCGTATTGCAGTGATGTCATGGCGACACTCTGAGCCGTGCTGACAAGGGTTGTAAGCAGTGCAGATGTCACGACAACTGGAGCCAATATAGCCTGAAGATGTAAAATTCTACACATAATCACAGGGTTAACACCTATATTTTTACATCAAATGAAGTTTTTAATTAATCTTTAGATATCACAGTACTTTAAATTCATTAAAAGCACTGAAGAGGTAGACCTAAATGGAGAATTTATACTTTTAATTTAAAATTGATTAATTACTCCTCTTACTCAAAATTACTGACACCATTGCAAAATTGTTTAGAATTTCTGTGGGGACCATTTTACTTGGACAATGACTCATCTGGGAAAATAGTTTACTAGAGTAACACTTTACTAGGGTTAGACCTAACCTGGATAACACTGACAAGTGTGCCTGTCCCACTCACCCACACACTTTACCAGGGTAACATCTTACCTGGGTAACACTGGCAGGAGTGCCTGTCCCACTCACCCACACACTTTACCTGGGTAACATCTTACCTGGGTAACACTGACAGGAGTGCCTGTCCCACTCACCCACACACTTTACCTGGGTAACATCTTACCTGGGTAACACTGGCAGGAGTGCCTGTCCCACTCATCCACACACTGACTGTTGGCAGGGCAAGTGACCCCAGCACAGGGGTCAGGGAGGTTACACCCACGCACTGCATTGTACTCCTGGGGTCCCACTAAGATAGAATTAGCACTGTTGCCCAGGTGGACATTCTGAAATACAAAGGTGGAACTGATTAATATTAGGTATTTTGAGGCCCACTTAGATGGCATTTGAGCTGTTGAGGCTGTGAACATTCTGAGATGTAATAATATAATATAATATTTAGTATTTTGGGATTTAAAATTTTTACAAAGTCATTGAATGTGAAACAAGAAATTTGTTTTGTTGCATCATTTCAATAAAAAGCAATTAAAACTAGAGGATCAGAGAGGCGATACCGCCTCCCGATATAGTACCACCAGCTGGAGCAAGCGCATTCATATGGACCCCCCCCCAAAAAAAGAGACGCCACCACCAGTCTTGTGCTTGACAAGCTCTATAAAATGCAATCAACAAGAATTCTCAAAATATGCAAAAAAAATACAACCAAAAATGGTACAATCAAAATTCAGTTCATCATAAAAAGTAGGTCAAAGGTCAATTTTAAGGTCACAGTAAATTGCCAGTATATGACTTCCTATTCAAGTTCAATAGTAACTATGGACCTATCTCTACCAGTTTTGGAGATAAA